CCTGAGCACCAAAAAAAAAATAAATAAATAAAATGGGATAAATGCCATTCTCCACCCCCCGCCCTCCCAATTACTAGCAGTTTGAAAATAATAGATCTCCTGGCATTCTACAGAATAATTAATGTGTTTGGGGGCCAACGTGATGGTACAGTGGGTAAGGTGTGTTTACCTTGCATATGGCTGATCCAGGTTTGATCCTGGCACCCCATATGGTCCCCCAAGACTGCCAGGAGTGATCCCTGAGTACAGAACCAGGAGTAAGTCCTGAGCACAGCCAAGTGTGGCCTCAAAACAAAATAACAAAAAAAAGTGTATTTTTGTCTCATTGTGAATTCATACATTTATACATATCTGTTGTGTAAAGACATTGTAGATAGTATCAAATTTTTAAAAATTTTATTGAATCACCATGAGATAGTTAGAAGCTTTCATGTTTGGGTTACAATCAAACAATGATCAAACGCCCATCCCTCCACCAGTGCACATTCCCCACCACCAATATCCCCGGTATACCCCCTTTTCCCACCCTCCCCCTGCTTCTATGGCAGACATGATTCCCCATAATCTCTCTCTACTTTTGGGCATTATGGTTTGCAATACAGACCTGAGAGGTTATCATGTTTGGTCCTTTATCTACTTTCTGCATACATCTCCCATCCCGACTGATTCCCCCAGCCATCTTTTTCTTTTTCTTTTCTTTCTTTTTTTTTTTTATGTAGGAGCACTGCTATTTATTCAGCCACTGATCAGCTGATTGAATTGGGCATAACTCCACTTTACTTTTTTTTTCCATTTTTTATAATTATGTTTATTGAATCACCGTGAGAGCATTTACAAAGCTTTCGGGTTTGTCTCGGTCATACAATGAAACACCCATACCTTCAGCAGTGCCCATTCTCCAACCCCCAAAACCCCAGTATACCCCTATCCCACGTCTTCCCCCTACCTGTGGGGCAGATGATTTTCACATTACTCTGTCTCTACTTTGATTACATTTAATATTTTGACACGAGACCCACCATTATTATTTGGGATTTTTACCCCAACACTTAGATCTGCTGAAAAGGCAGCTGTAGACAACTTTTGTTTTCTATTGCTGGCTATGAATAACATATGATGTTGTGTGGCTGCAGCAGTGGCCACGTGATTTTGAAATTTAAAAATTTAACAATTAAATCTGGAGGGATTTCTACCAGAACTTGCTGGGTTCTGAGATTTGTTCCTGAGTCTCTGGGATCATGGCCATTAAGCAGCTTGATCAGGAGCCAGAAAGGCTGTTCGTCGGTGACGACTCAGGGTCTTGTTGGGACAGGAAAGAAAGGGCCGGCTCCACCCCATCCCATGAGGCTTCACATGTCTCATCACTGAGGACTCAAACCTGACTGTCCAATGGCCTCTGGAGGATGGTGGCCACTGAGTCACCTAGGGGGAGCAGGCAGAGGGACAGCACCCTTTCCCCCCCTGGAATGGCCCAGCGACAGTAACCTACTGCGGAGTCCAGACGCATTTCTGCCAAAAGCCACTGAGTTCCAAGATTTGTTTTTGAGTCTCTTGGATCATGGCCGTTAAGCAGCTTGATCAGGAGCCAGAGAGGCTGTTCATGGGTGACGACTCAGGGTCTTGTTGGGACAGGGAGGAAAGGCCGGCTCCACCCCCATCCCATGAGGCCCCATGTGTCTTGTCACTGCAAGCCCAAACCTGACTGTCCAGTGGCCTCTGGAGGATGGCGGTCACTGGGCTGCCAGGGGGAACAGGCCAAGGCACGAAACCTATTCCCACCTGAGGTACCCCAGCGCCTGTAACCTACTGCAGGGATTGGACGCATTTCTGCCAAAAGCCGCTGGGTGGGTTCCGCGATTTGTTCCTGAGTCTCTGGGATCATGGCCATTAAACGGCTTGATCAGGAGCCAGAGAGGCCATTCGTGGGCAGCAACCTGGGCTCTCGTTGGGATGGAGAGGAAAGGGCCGGCTCCACACCCATGAGGCCCCACATGTCTCGTCACTGCAGGCCCAAACCTGACTGTCCAGTGGCCTCTGGTGGATGGCGGCCACTGAGCCACCAAGGGGGAGCAGGAGGGAATAGCACACTTTCCCCTCTGGGGTGGCCTGGCAACAGTAACCTACTACGTGGTCTGGATGCATTTCTGCCAAATGCCCCTGGGTTTTGTTTTGATATTTGTTTCTGAGTCTCTGGGATCATGGCCATTAAGCAGCTTGATCAGGAGCCAGAGAGGCCATTCATGAGAAGCAACTCGGGGTCTCATTGGGACAGGGAGGAAAGGGCCAGCTCCACCCCCACCCCGTGAGGCCCCATGTGTCTTGTCAATGCAGGCCCAAACCTGACTGTCTAATGGCCTCTGGAGGATGGTGGCCACCGGGCCGCCAGGGGGAACAGACCAAGGCACGAAACCTATTTCCACCTGGGGTGGCCCAGCGCCTGTAACCTACTCCAGGGACTGGATGCATTTCTGGGAAAAGCCGCTGGGTTTCGAGATTTGTTTTTGAGTCTCTGGGATCATGGCCATTAAGCAGTTCGATCAGGAACCAGAGAGACCTTACTTCCAATTATATAGCTAAGCCTGAGGTGGTTTGTGGGTGTGTCTCCCACATACCACATACCTAACTTTTGGCCATTTACTTTCTTGGTAAACTTTGCCCCAAGTTTTTGGGGTCTGGCCAAAGGCACAGCAGCAATTTTGGGGTATCTGGAAGTCTGAAGGCACCATCAGGCTGCTGATGCACTCGCCTCACAGGTACAGATTGACCTGCTGGCAGCACCATACCCTCCAGCCATCTTTTTCTTAGTGATCCCTTCTCTATTCCTGCTACCTTCTCCCCTTTGCTCATGAGGCAGGCTTCCAGCTATGGAGCAATCTATCTGTCCCGTTTATCTACTATCCTTAGGTGTCAGCCTCATGTTATGTTGTTTTATACTCCACAAATGAGTGCAGTCCTACTATGTCTGTCCCTCTTTTTCTGACTCATTTCACTTAGCATGATGATAGCACTGATTTTAATGTTGAAATTGTCCTCTCTTCAGTTTTTCTTTTTCCTTTTTGCAGTGCCTGTGATCAAACCGAGGAGTTTGTACATGTGAGAAATAGTCCTATCAGGACCCATGAAAAGTGTTCTGATTGCTTTTAAGTTCTTTTAATACAATCCTTAGAGTCGTTGAAAGCGTCCTTTCTTATCTCTGCCATCCCTGCCCGGTACCTGCAAGCAGTCATTTTTCCAGGGAGTTCCTTGGAAAAATGTTCCTCTCCATGGAAAATGCTCTTTAGACACTTGGTTTGGGCAGTAGGAGTATTCATTGCTTTTAGGTTACTATGAATAGGCCTTTTCAGGAAACAGCTGTGTCAGGATCAATATCTTATTGGTTTTTTGTTTTCTTTTTGGGGGTGACATTTTGAGGTACCTGGAGCTGCTCCTTCATAACATCATACATGAGGGCTATCCTGGCACTTCTTGGGAAAAAATGTAGTGCCAGGGATAGAATCTGCAGCTCTCACATGCCACGTCTGCACTCCATCCCTGTGACCCATCTCCCCAGCCCAGGACAAAGGACTTTATCCTCAGAAATGACCGAGGGCATGAGCTTACAATTATGCTTCTAGTTATTTGTTTTGATTTTAAACTATTATTTTTTTGCATTTGGGTCACAACCAGCAGAGCTCAGGGCTTACTCCTAACTATGTGCTCAGGGATCACTCCTGCGGGTGCTCAGGGGACCAAAGAGGTGCTGGGGATCAAACCCAGGTCGGTTGCATGCAAGAACAACCCTACCTGCTCTCCTATCTCTCCAGCCCCTAAATTTTACATTTTTGTGATGAAACTCCTTGTGAAATGGCCACAAGTGGTCTAGGAAAAAACCTCAATTGTCAATGTATGTATGTAACATAACGAGAAGTGTAAGCCCCCAAACTCTGAATCCAATGTAGAGTCAGTTCATGTAGATGCTTTAGTTGACACTATTTGTAATCAACCCGAGTGTTATTTTTGCTTGGCATGTACTTAGAGATGATACTCCCAGATGCCTCTGGCTGCAAATAGGACATGGGTAATTCCTTGGTTGCAATATCTTAAAAGGTCAACAAGATTATGTTACTCCACAAAGCATCTTTCAGAAACTCTTGTTTTCTCAGTTTATCTTTCCGAATATCCCTTCCCTGTAGATCAAAACCCTTGAAATAAAATACATTCCCATTCTTTACCTCTTTGCTAGCCTCTTCCTCCCCCAACAACTCAGGAGACTAGATATAGATATAGATATAGATAGATATGTGAATAGATATACATATATATCTTTTGAATCTCGGTGAGAGGGAGAAGAGAATTGCTGTATAAATGAAGGGAATGAAAATAGAGGTGTAGAAGGATTGACAGCTGCTTGATCGGGGCTGGCAGACTGCAATAAACCCTCAACTACAACTCCAAGCTCAGATTTCTTTGCCAGACAGCTGGCTTTTCCACTCCATCTGAAATACTCCAACATGATGGGGGGAGGGCTGTAAAGTTCCTCTGCTGTGGCCCTTGTATAAAGGTTAGCTACCTCCCAGATGTAGTTTGTAGAAAGAAAATGCAATATAGTTAATACAGCAGCGATGAAGGTGTTGTATACAGCTGATAAGGCATATGACTGATCCCTCTAATTTTAAAGGCTTGGAACATTTGGAGAGTGCTGGAGGGCTGCCTGGAGTAGTGATCAGAGTCATAAAAACTAGAACTGAATATCTGACTTGCCTGGGATATTTTGCTCTCCTTCTTCTTACTTGGCATCCTCATCTCCATATTCCTCCTGTTCCTCCTACCCACCCCAGTCCCTCATCCTACCCCCACCAATGTTCCTGGAATTTTGGACTTAGCTATTTTTAAAACAGTCAACTCAGTAGCCACCTCCCTCCCCGGTTCAGCTGTCCAGCACTCTCGCCAGTCGTATGCTCCCCCTTCCCCCTACCCCAAACCTTCTCTGGCTCTCTGACCTCAGTGAGACTGCAGCCGGCCTGGGGACATGGGGGAGACATGGAGGAAGAGACGGGGGATCCCCTGGCTGGAGCCGACCCACAGAGTTGGCCATCATGGCTGGAAAGTTGGCTATCAGAGTAATGTCTGACCTCTGGAAACAGTAAGTTCAAATGCAATTGCATTTCCTTTCATCTGCTTTTAGACTGAAATTAGACTGTCATAATATTACAACATCTACTTGGATATCTCGGGTCCCCAAACTAGAATCTCTTTCATACCAAGGTACCTTGCTTCCATTTCTTCTTTTGTCTCCTTCTGCTCTCTGGCCATTGGAACTTGAGGGCACCTGGTCTCCTCTGGCACTGCTGCCCTCTCCTTACCTGCTAAGTCTGGCAAAATGCTAGGGCGTCTCTCACTTTCCCATTCTGTGGTTTTCTCACCAAGGCCAGAGTCAGCCTCAGGTGATCAGTCACCAATCCCCCATCTTCTCCCCTTCCCTCCAGAGCAGTGCTTTCAGGGGACTTCCAGCACCCTCTCCCAATCACACCCTCACCCTCCAAGGAGAAGGAATGAGCAGCGGTGTGAAGGCCTTCTCCAAACCCCATCCATGTTCACACACTGAGAACTTCGGAACTTGCAAAGAGTAATAGAAAGAGTGCTATTCCCCGCCCCCCCCAGTGCCAGATCTGGAAAAACACATCAACTATTAATGACTCAAAGCCAACAAAGATTGATTTGCATGCTTGCTTTGCACCCCGTTATTTCATGAGAATTATAATGGAGGCTCTCAAAAGTAATGAGAGTGTTTTTGAGATTCACTGGAATACTGATATTCTAGAGGGAAAGTGTGTTTCCCCTTCCTTTCCGGAGGGAGGAGAGGAACTGAATGACTCCAGGGGGGTGTGGGTGTGGGGACGCCCTCCTGCTAGGGGTGGGGATTAAGTCAGAGGCTAGATCCTGAACTTGATTCCGTTGATGGATTCCCATTATTTCTAATTTTCTAACCTTGCTGCTATTTGGTAGCTCAGGATGGGGCAATACAGTGGACTCTGCCCCCACCACCCACCCCAGTTCACTCAAACTTCCACCCCCACCGACGTGTATTGCATAAGGGGCCAGAAAGTGGCCCATGAGCACAGGGCGTAAAGACTTAACAAGCACGAGCAGTTGGGGGAACCCCAAAACTTCCCAAACTCTGATCCCTCTTTCTCTTTGGCCTCTCCGAACTCTCCTCACGCGGTCCTGGATGATCTTCAACTCCTCTGTCTCTTCCCGTGCCCACCCCGATGTCTTTACAGGACGCCGGGTCAGAATCTACTAGGTAGGAGGGTCATCAGCTGCAAAGAGCCGGAGCCTGGGGGGACCTGGCGGGATAGGTATGGGGGGTCGAGGCCGGCCCCCTGATCCCCGGTCCCCCCCTGGCGGACCCCCAGCCCTAAGCGCTCTGGCGCTCCTGCTACTCTTCTGTGCACACGGTAAGGACCCGCAGCTGCAGAGCAGGAGTGAGTGCGACGGGCGCGGAGCATCAGGGGCCACTCTGCTCTCCAACTAGCCGAGCGTCTGATGTCCCACACCACGGGGCAGGGCACTGAAACCCTTGTGGGGGAAGGGGGTTGTCAGGGGGAGAGCCGGAGCGGGCCTGCAGGGGATCCCGCAGGCCGAGACAATGACCGACCTCGGGAGCGGCGCGGCGCGGGGCAAGCTCTAGAAAGGGCTGGCTTGTGCCGTGGAGGGTTGGCGGCGCCGGCCACGCTGGGACACAGCGTGGCCCTGCGCGCTCAACGCCCATCCCTGTCGCCCGCAGCTCACGCTCAGTGCAAGATCCTGCGCTGCAACGCCGAGTACGTGGCGTCCACGCTGAGCCTCCGGGGCGCGGGCGCGGCGGGCGGCGCTGCGGGGCCGGGCGCGGGCGCCCTCTGCCGGGCGCTCCGCTCCTACGCGCTGTGCACGCGGCGCACGGCGCGCACCTGCCGAGGGGACCTGGCCTTCCACTCGGCCGTGCACGGCATCGAAGATCTCATGATCCAGCATAACTGCTCGCGCCAGGGCCCCACGGCGCCGCCGCCGCCCCGCGGGCCCGCTCTGCCCGGCGCGGGCGCGCTCCGCCCCGCCGGCCCCGCGGCCCCCGACCCCTGCGACTACGAAGGCCAGTTTGCCCGGCTGCACGGCCGAGCGCCCGGCTTCCTGCACTGCGCCTCCTTCGGGGACCCGCACGTGCGCAGTTTCCACCACCACTTCCACACCTGCCGGGTCCAAGGCGCGTGGCCTCTGCTGGATAACGACTTCCTTTCCGTACAGGCCACGAGCTCCCCTGTGGCCACAGGTGCCAACGCCACCGCCACGCGGAAGGTTAGGGACCCGAGGTTCCTGTGCCCCCCGGTGGTCGCCCCTCCCCAGTCCGCTGTGCACGCGATACCCAGGGCCCTTCCTCCGCGGGACCCTCCGCCGACCTCTCCCTCTGCCCAGAACTGCATGGTCCTCCATCGAGGTCCCTGGGTGGGACTCACTCCGACGCAGAAAGGCCCAGGAGGAGCTGGGGGAGGGCAGCTAAGGAGCCCTGAGCAGAGAGGGGTTTACAGCACGCTCCCTTAGCCCGTGAGATGCTTCTGAAGTGAGGCTTCCCCAAAAGACGGCGGGTGGGGGGTGGGGGTAGGGGGTGGAACTAGATGGAGGCAACAGTAGAACAGAAAGCGTCAGGGCGCCAGGACTGAGCGAGGACGCGCACCTGCGAGCGGGGAGCAGCTCCCTGCCTGGTCCTGGAGGCGCCCTCGGGGAGACGGGGTGCCCTGAGCATCACAGTGAACTATCCCCTCTCGCCCTCACAGCTCACCATTATATTTAAGAACATGCAGGAGTGCATTGACCAGAAGGTCTACCAGGCTGAGGTGGACAATCTTCCGGTAGCCTTTGAGGACGGTTCTGTCAACGGCGGGAACCGACCCGGGGGGTCGAGTCTGTCCATCCGCACGGCTGCCCCCGGAGGCCACGTGGAGATTCAGGCTGCCTACATCGGCACCACCATCGTCATCCGGCAGACGGCCGGGCAGTTGTCCTTCTCCATCAGGGTGGCTGAGGATGTGGCCAGGGCCTTCTCCGCCGAGCAGGACCTGCAGCTCTGTGTTGGCGGGTGTCCCCCGAGCCAGCAGCTCTCCCGCCTGGAGCGCCAGCGCCGCGGAGCCATCAGCCCAGACGCTGCCAGGCAGCTGTGCAAAGAACGGCTCCCCGTGGAGGACGCTTACTTCCACTCCTGTGTCTTTGACGTTCTCATCTCCGGGGACCCCAACTTTACTGTGACAGCTCGGGCGGCCCTGGAAGATGCGCGCGCTTTCCTGCCAGACTTGGACAAATTGCATCTCTTCCCCTCCGATGCTGGGTCTCCTCTATGCTCAGCGGTCCTCGGAGGCCCGGCTCTCTCTGGGCTCTTGGTTCTGTGGCTTTTCACTCAGTGAGTGCAACAATCCCAAGATTGATGCGAAAATGATTTGGAACTGGAGAGTGGCAGGGAAAGACACCCAGAATCACCAAAGGACAGAGGTAGCTCTGGGAGGTGGATGAAGCAGTGCTGGTCAGAGAAGGCTACGGTCCAGGTGGGACCATTACAGCAAAGGGTTCTGGGCAAGGTGTCCACATTCCAGGCCTCCCAGGCAATTTCTCACTGGCTTCCCCAGTCCTGTTTAGACTAAGAAAGTTGTTCCAATACAACTGCTCCTGAGATCACTCCTGCAGTATTGGAGTCTAATAAGTATCCTAATATTCAGTAGGAATGTAAATATTAGAAAAGTGGAGCAGAAAGAACAGAAAGAGAAATATATATGTTGCCCACAAGAACTCAAGGCCTGGGGCTGGAGAAATAGGGTAGTGGGTAGGTGCTTGCCTTGCATATGGCCAACCCAGCACCCCATATGGTTCCCTGAGCCCTGCTAGGAGTGATCCCTGAGCACCAATAGATATGGCCCCCAAACCAAAAAGAAATAAAGGGAAATAAGACCTCAAAATCTCACCATATAGGGGGCTGGAGCAATAGCACAGCAGGTAGGGCGTTTGCCTTGCACGCGGCCGACCTGGGTTCGATTCCCAGCATCCCATATGGTCCGTCCCCTGAGCACCGCCACAGGTAATTCCTGAGTGCAGAACCAGGAGTAACCCCTGTGCTTCGCCGGGTGTGACCCAAAAAGAAAAAAAAATTCTCACCATATATTCCATTTCAAGGTGTAAGAGGAGAAATCAGTTAGAGAAAAGGTCACATAGATTATGTGGGTGAGTTGCACACTGCTTTCTGGTTTCAGACTTGAGGTAGAACCTTAGATAAAGGGACCTCTGCTTTCAAAAGTTCAGAACCTTAACTCTTAACCACTACACTTTATCCTCAAGGAAACAGAGTCATTAGGGGGTCTGGGTTCTGGAGATGGTAGGGATGCTGACTGTTAACACAAAAGTTACTGCTTAGACACAGACAAGGAAAAAGTTGACAGTCCCACCCAACTAATCTATTATTAAAATGACAAGCTCTCCATGTCCTCCTCTGTTGCCCGTGTTCAATCTTTGTGCAGGTGCTGAAATGGAGCAAGGCAATGCTCACTACGCTGAAAGACAATTCAGAAGTGTTTACCATTGTTCTGCTCCCTGGAGCTTATTTGTTTTGAGGGAAATGAAATCAATTCACATTAATGTGTAATGAGTGTGAATTTATTAACCTCCGAGATACTGTACATTCAGATAGGAAGATAATAAGAAATAATAACTAATGCAGGAGTGATAGTATAGTGGAGAGGGTACTTGCCTTATGTACAACTAACCAGTGTTCAATTCCTGGCTCTACATACGGTGCCCTGAGCCCCGCCAGGAGTGACTTCTGAGTACAGCAGCAGTTGGGGTCCAAATACACGCGCGCGCACACACACACACACACACCCAAAAAAAGTGGGCCAAGGAGTTTAAATTCAATCTTCTCAATACTTTCATAATAGTGATTCATTTCATTCTCATGGCCTCTAAGAAAGGGACCTTTTCTTTGGGGTGGGGGGAGGTGGGGATAAGGTAGGGATATTGGACTGTACCTAGCCATGATCAGGGCTTTATTTCTGGCTCTGGGTTCAGGGGTCACTCCTGGCAGGACTTAGGACCAGATGTGGTACTGGAATCAAAACCAGAGTGGGTTCATTCAAGGCAAGATCTTATCCACTGTCCTCTCTCCCCAGACCAGGAAGGGGCTATTGTTATCTCTATTATTATTATTATAGGAGGAAACTGGATACAGGAAGATTAAGCAACTTGCCCACACTCACACTATTAACACATGGTAGACCAGGAGCTGAGGCAAAGGCAGTTTGGGTTCAGGGCCTTAACTCTTCTCACAACACTGTCGTCAAGGAAATAGAATCTTTAAGGGTCTGGATTGTGATGTTGGCTGGAGTGTGGGTTTGTCTGTTAACACACAAGCTCCTGCTGGGTCATAAGAAGCCCAGGGGAGGGAGAGGGCCGAGGCCAAAACCAACAGAACAGAGTGTGCAGAAAGAGAAGATGGGGGAATGCCAGTTGTTCTAGTTAGGACTGTGGACCATTAAGTGCTTCTCTGCACCAAGCCATGAGGGAGTAACTGCTCCTCTTTCCCTTTGCTGTTGCTGCCACAGAGCTGACTGCAGTGTTCCCACTCTTTGCTGCTAGCCAGGCCATGGGGGCAACAGACATGTCTGTCATGTTGCTTGCATGTATTTTTGCTGGAGGCAAACCCTATTAGTTATGGGACTCCTGCACCTGGGGTTGTGCTCTTAGCCTGGTGCTCACATACCCTCTGGTCTCATGTTTTGGGGACACACACTTGTGGCTCTGGCTCCATGCAGAACAGCCAGACCTTGGCTCTGCACTCCTGGAGTCCCAAAGGAGACCTCTTAGTGAGTGCTCTTCTCGTTTCTGTCCTGTCTGCCCTTCAGTCATTCCATTATCAGCATCAGAGCTTCTTAAATCTTTTTCACTCATTGTGCCTTTTTACCTAAGAAGTTTTCATGCACCCCTATGTTCATAGGAATATAAAGTAGGCATATGAATTAAGCATCTATTGATAAGCATAAAAATTACTCTAAAACAAACTTTTGGGCCACACCCAGCAGTGTTTAGGGATTACTCCTGGCTCTGTACTCAGAAATTACTCCTGGCAGCGCTCTGGGGACCATATGGGATGCTGGACGTCGAACCTGGATTGACTGGGTGCAAGACAAATGCCTTCCCTGCTGTACTATTGCTTTAGCTCTAACACAAAATTCTTTAAAACTGAGGCTGTGAAATGGCCTAAGATAATTATAGCATGTGCCTGAGCCAGTTTTAATCCCCAGCACACACGTGTCAACAGCACTGCCACGAGCAGCCTAGAGTAACTCATCTGAGCCTGGTCCAGGTAGGACTGTCCACCACCCAGCCCAGATCTCTGGAGACTTAGCAGGAGGGGCCAGACCTCAGAGTCCTCACCTTGCCCAAAGACCCAGCACTCTACCCACCCACATCTGGCTCCGGATTAGATTAGATTAGATTAGATCAAAGGCTGCCCCAAAAGCTTCCAGAGAAATGGCCCAGCTTCTCAGAGAGAAGACTGATCTCAGAGAGACACCATCAGCAGCTGATGATCCCAGCTCCAAAGCTCGTGAGGCCACATATCTCCAAACTTTACAGAGCTGAAGCACAGAAAATTAGATGAGAAAATTGAGTAGAACCCTGCTAAACTCAATGAGGGAAAATAGTAACACAGGGGCTGGAGCCAGAGGGTAGGGTTTTCCTTGCATGCAGCCCACCCTGGTGGGATCCCAGGCATCCTATATGGTCCCCCAAACACCACCAGAAGTGATTCCTGAGCGCAGAGCCAGCAATAACCCCTGAACATTGCCAGAGTTGGCCCCAAAACAAGATTAAACAAACAAAAACAAAAAACAAAAAAAAAGAAAACAACACAGAAGGTTCAATTTGCATCTAAAAGCTCAGTAAGTACTCAGGTCATGATTTTAATAACACCATTATGTGATATATTTGTAAAAAGGAATATAAAGTAAATTATTTATTTTGTGCCTGCTAAGGGAGCAGGCTTTGATGGGGATTGGGGGGTGCGACTGGGGATATTGGTGGAGGGAAGGGCACATTGGTGGTGGGACAAGTGTTAGAACATTGAACACCTGAAACGACTGTACTGGAAACTTTGTAAATCACAATGCTTAAATAAAGTTTTAAACAAACAAAAAACGTGTCCTGGAGGCCCTGAGCATTGTATGAAAAGAAGCTCATATCATCAGTCATCAGGAAAATGCAAATCAAATTAAAACCATGGTAGGAAAACTTGACACACCCACTAGAATGGTTAAACTGAAAAAGATTAAGTACAGAAAGAACTTCGAGAAATTGAAAGCTCATATGTAGCTACTGGGAATGTAAACTGATACTTGCTAAAATGGTTTAGCAATTTCTCTCTTTCTTTCTCCTTCCTTCCTTCCTTCCTTCCTTCCTTCCTTCCTTCCTTCCTTCCTTCCTTCCAGCCCGTATGGGACACTGGGGATCAAAACTCAGTTTACCACATGCAAGGCAAGGACCCTCCCCACTGAACTATCACTCCAGCCCCTGAAAATTTCTTTAAACACTCACCATGCACACAAGACATTCCACTTCTTGGTAATGACCCAAGAAAACAGACTATGAGATGTAAAATCTTATCACGCCGAAGGTTGTGTGTTCGCGGGCTCACTGGATGGCACTGTCTCACCGCCCGCGTTCAGTGCTCTTGAGCCACTGTGTGTGGCCTGGATTGGAATGGCTGTTGGCCAAGGGCAGACGGAAGAAGAAACGAGGGCCAGACCAGTCGATATCAATAGTAGTTTATTCCAATCCTCTTCACTCCTGTCTTTCTCTGCCTCCTTCTCTCTTGGGCCCCAATCTGGAACCTCTCTTCTTCTGGCTCTGACTCTGGATCTCTGGAGCCCCAGCTCTCTCGCTTCTGACTCCCTTCGAGCTTACAGTCTTAGTTTATATAGCAATCATGCAAGGCGGTGACATAAAGGTGGGTTGAATATTGACAAATCAACTATGAGAGGTAAAACCACTCCTCCAGGAGATTAACTCAAAGATAAAATCTCATCTAAAGAGATTACTCCAGATTACTAGGAGATCTGCTCAAGGGTGGGATCCTAACAAGGGTGTGTTCTTTCTTCAGCTAGTAATCTACATAAATAGTTGTGGTAAATCTACTTCTAATATTTCTAGCAAAGTCATTCTGCGTGAGCACAGTAAGAGATATAAACATCTCATTATACATTCCGCAGTCCTCAGGCCAGGTTAGTCTTCCTAGCCCTAACAGGGTCCTAGTCTCGTTACTTACTTTGGACCATGACAACATTTGTCCATGATCATGCCCTCAACTTACAGTTGAGTATTGTGGCGCTTTGGCCTGGCCCATTTCAATGCCAGGGTAGCTCACAGCTTGCCCTGGGTCCATTCAGTCCCTCGTTGGGACCCTGCTTTTGGGGTGCTAGGAACTAAGGGCAACTGAGTCAAGAAAGCAGATGCCCAGGAGTAAATATTATTCGGAGTCAATCAACTCCCAAGTTGCAAAGCATAATATTAACTATCTTCCTGTGTCCCCACAGAAAGGACATTGCTTACTACAAGTTCAGTGTCCTTAGATGGGTGTGACCTGATAAACCTAAGCTACCCGAGGAAGGACAAAAGAGTGTTATCCTACAATGAGATATGTTAATACATATGACTGTACAAAGGTTTGTGCACAAATATTTGAGTCTGGGGACCAGAGAGATAGTACAGCAGGTAAGGCCCTTGCCTTGCAAGAGTCTGACAAGGTTTGATCCATTGCACTGCATAGGGTCCTCTGAGCCAGGAATGATCCTCAAGTGCAGTCTGGAGTAAGCCCTGTGGCTTCCAGGTAAGACTCCCCTACAAAAAAAAAAGTTTTGTCTGTATTTTAAAAAAGCTGAATACCCCTCTGCAATAAAATAAAAAATAAACCACCGATACATACAAAAAAGAAAAAACAGGTTGAATCTCCTGTTTATAATAGATATCAAATATATCAAATAATAGATATCAAAACCCACTACGTTACATACTTAAAGATGTGACGTATTTTATGCATGAAATAAGCCTCAAAATAGTTAGAACTGGGGCTGGGGTATAGTACAGTGGGTAGGGTGTTTGCCTCGCACGTGGTCGACCTGCTGAGTTCAATCCCTGGCATCCCATATCGTCCCCAGGGCACATCAGGAGTAATTACTAAGTGCATAGCCAGGAGTAACTTCTGAGCGTCCCTGAGTGTGACCTAAAAAAAATAAAAAAGGGGGCGTTAGAACAAACTTTTCTTCTATGAAATCACAGAAAACAAAGGGAAATGTAGCAAGGAAAGGATACTTAATAATTTGATGCTCTCTCTTTCACTCTGCTCATAGAAGTATGTCCCTACTCCGATTGCCACCTTTCTGTAGAAAGAGAATTTCACGATCACGATCATCCTGTTGTTCGTCGATTGACTCGAGCAGGCACCAGTAACATCTCCTTCGTCCTAGCCCTGAGATTTTAAAGTGCCATATTCAAGGCTCTTTCGGGGTTAGGAGAATGAGACCCATCAATGTTACTGGTATTTGGCATATTGGGTACGCCACGGGGAGTTTGCAAGACTC